GGAGGAGGAGGACCTCTTCCCTTTCCCCCCGCCCCCCAGCGGTGGGCGGCGGGGGGCCGGGCGCGCAGCGGGAACACCGCGGCAACCGCATTCCCTCCCTCAGCTGGCCCTGCGGGTGCCGCCTCCTGCGATACCCGTCGCCGCCAGCGGTGGCGTTGGCGCTGGTGCAGGACCGGGGAGGGGGGCGAAGCAGACATCGGATGTCTTCAGGCGTGAGGGTAGGAAGAGGAGGAGGAGGAGGAGGAGGAGGAGGAGGAGGAGGAGGAGGAGGAGGAGGACGTGGAGGAGGAGGAGGAGGAGGAGGAGGAGGAGGAGGAGGAGGAGGAGGAGCATGAGGAGGAGCATGAGGAGGAGGAGGAGGTGGAGGAGGAGGAATATTAATAATAAGAATACTATTGAGAATCGTAATAATAAGACTAAGACTAATAATAAGAAAAGAAGAATAATAATATTAATACTCATACTGATAATAATAAGAATACGAAGAAAACTATTACGAATAATTAAAAGAAGACTAGTAACACGAACCATACTAATACTAATCGTACGAATACTAATAATAAGAATACGGTAATGATATTAATAAGAAGAAGACGAATAATAACACACATACTAACACTACTAAGAATAAGACTAATATCAATACTAATACCAATAATAATACTAATCACACTAAGAAGACAACGAATACGAATAACAATGGTACTCAGGCTAATGACAATAATCATAATAATAAGAGTAATAGTAATACTAATACAACTATTAAGAATAATACTACGAATAACAATAACATGAATACTAATAATAATAATGCGAAGGATAATAACCATACTGCGATTAATAAGAATCATCCGAATAGTACTAATGAGAAGCCTAAGACGAATAACAGCAATAGTACTGCTTCTAATGATACTAATAATGCTACTCATAATAAACACAGTAATACTAATAAGAATAGTAATGACAATGATAATGCTAATAATCATAATACTAATACAAACACTAATAACAATATTCATATTAATAATAGTTCGAATAATACTAATGCTACTACTACTGCTACTACTACTACTACTACTACTACTAGTAACAATAATAATACTAATACTCATATTAATAGTAATATTACTACTACTACTACTACTACTACTACTACTAATACTAATACAAATAATACTCGTAATACTAATGATACTAGTAATGATAGTAACAATGATAGTAGCAGTCGTAGTAGTAGTAGTAGTAGTAGTAGTAGTAGTAGTAGTAGTAGTAGTACTAGTACTAGTAGTAGTAGTAGTAGTAGAAATGATACTAGTATTAATTATTATTATATTTAGAAGACGAGGAGGAGGAGGAGGAGGAGGAGGAGGAGGAGGAGGAGGAAGAGAAGGAGGAGTAAACGGAGGAGGAGGAAAAGGAGGAAGAGGGGGACGAGGAGCAGGAGGAGGAGGAGGCGGGGGCGAAGGCGGAGGCGGATGCGGAGGAGGAGGCGGAGGAATCGGCGGAGGCGGAGGCGGAGGCGGAGGCGGGGCGGAGGTGGAGGCGGAGGAGGAGGCGGAGGCGGAGGCGGAGGCGGAGCCAGAGGCACAATCCCGCGGCCGGGAGACGGCCCTTGGAACCCGGAAACATAGAAGAAGATTTTGTCGTCGCAATTCCCCAATCAGAGCTTGCATCTGTAGGGGTCCTAGCGGATTCATATGATTAGTTGAGGTTTGGCGCCAAATTCGGGGTGCCCGGGTGCCCGGGTGCCCGGGTGCCCGGGTGCCCAGGTGCCCGGGAGCCCAGGTGTCCTATAGCCTTACAGCCTTGTAGCCCTATAGCCGTAATAGCCCTATAGCCCTATAGCTTTATAGCCCTATAGTCCTCTAGCTCTATAGCCCTAATTGCCCTATAGCCCTATAGCCCTATAGCCCTATAGCCCTATAGCCCTATAGCCCTGATAGCCTTATAGCCCTATAGCCCAATAGCCCTATAACCGTATAGCCCTATAGCTCCATAGCCCTATAGCCCTGTAGCCCCGTAGCTTTATACCCTATAACCCTAAAGCCCTATAGCTCTATAGCCCTGTAGCCCAATCGCCCTATAGCCCTGTAGCCCTATAGCCGTATAGTCCTTGTAGTCCTATAGCCCGATAGCCATATAGCCTTATAGCCGTACAGCCCTATAGCCCTGATAGCCCTATTGCCCTATAGATCTATTCCCCAATCAGAGCTTGCCTCTGTAGGGGTCCTAGCGGATTCATATGGTTAGGTGAGGTTTGGCGCCGACTTCGGCGGCACGCCCGGGTGCCCAGGTGCCCCGGTGCCCGGTAGCCCTATAGCCCTGTAGCACTACAGCCCTACAGCTTGATAGCCCTGTAGCCCTATATCCCTATAGCCATAATAGCCACATAGCCCTATAGCCCTATAGCCCTAATAGCCCTATAGCCCTATAGCCCTAATAGCCTTATAACCCTATAGCCCAATAGCCCTATAGCTGTATAGCCCTATAGCCCTATAGCCCTATAGCCCTATAGCCCTATAGCCCTATGGCCCACAGCCCTATAGCCCTATAGCCCCAGAGCCTTATCACTCTATAGCCCTATAGCCCTATTGCCACATAGCCCTATAGCCCTAAAGCCCTATAGCCCTAAAACGATTATGATTGTTTTTTTTTCTCCAGTATCGGTGTCGCCAGGATCTGAGGGTAACCAGCGACCTAAGACGCGTTGGTCCTTGGTAAGGTTTTGGGTTGCGCACAGACGGGCCCCCAGGTATTCCGGCTGGCGTCAACAGGCCTGCAGGATGGCCTGGGGTGGCCTCAACGATCGACTCCTGGGTCGAGGAGCGTTCCAGGGGCGCCACTGAAGGCGGCGCCAGCGTGTTGAGACCGCCCTGGACTGCCCAGGGGGCCTGTCCAGGCCAGCCGGGACCACCGAGGATGTGTGTGTGTGTGTGTGTGTGTGTGCGCAGCTGGACGCCTTGCCGCCAGTCCTCCCAGGACGCGGCCCAGGGCCCGGTCGACACCGGCAGCGGCTACGACCACCTGGCCGTGTCGACGCCCGACGTGCACGTCGCCGCGGCGGCCTTGCGGGCTGCCGGCGTGGAGCTCACGGTGCCGCCCATGGTCATGTTCGGTGCCAGCCCCTGCCTCCCGATGGGGCGAGGGAGGACGGAGGGAG